TGCACAATCGGAGCCGGGTGGAGTAACTTCGCGGCTAACTCGGAAAAAATGCCGAGGTGATGAAAGTTTTTTGGGTTTTGGTGGGGGTTTTTTTTTGTGGTTTTTTTTTTTTTTAACCTCTCCCAGGGAAGAAGGTTCCCGGGGGCGGCGCGTTTTTTTTTTTTTTAACCTCTCCCAGGGAAGAAGGTTCCCGACGTGGGGTCGCGCTTGGGCAGCTTTAGGGTTTCTCGGCGGCAGCGCTTCGGGTTTGGGAATTGCTGGAATGTAATGGCAAACGCGATGGGAGCGCAGTGGCGTTACCGGGAAGTCGCTGCTGATCTGTGCTCCTACGCGAACTACGTGGAGCATTTACGTATTTCGAGAGCTGAGAGGAGTTTCTTGGTCATCTCGTAGCCTGCCAAGATGGCAGAAAGTCAGTGTGTCCTGAAATCGGTGAACTAAACTTTGGTGCACAAAACGCCTTTTATAGTCGGTGTCTAAAGTTTGCCACCTATTAGTCTTACTGTAATGTCACATCTCTTTGGCAGTGCTTGTGGGCATATTATAGTCAAAATGAGGTTATTTATAATTTATTAGTGAAAGGATAGTTCTGTTATCCCTGAAAATTTTAAATCTGTTCTGAATTAGTGCTAGCTAAATGAATTGTCTTTCAATTATGGCTACGCTCTCACAAGAATTTCAAAACAATTCCTTTTGAATCTGCCATCAGAACTTGTTCCCCTGTATTAGCGGATGATATCACTTGAGTTGAAACACAGCTAGGATACTCCCTGGTATGCTTTGTCATCAACTCATGCTTATGAAACACATTCAGGCGCTGCAGGTAAGAATTTATTGTCACATATAAACTGAGGCAAACCCCCACTTACGTAGTAATCTGGTGGTCAAAACCTTAAAACGATTCAGCATGACTCTTGAATCAATAAGTCGTATCTTTGACTTCAAGGTTTTGGCCTGTTGTGTGCAGTCTCTTGTCCTGTATTGGTCCTTACGCTCTGTGGCACTGTGTAGTAGCAAGCTTCTTCCTTTACCCAGTGCTGGAGTTTAGGATTGGTGAGGTGGTTGGGTTAGGGTTCTTTTATTATTTGTTTTTGGGTTTTGGTTGGTTTTTTTTTTTTTTTTGAAGGTGCTATTTTTAATCAATTTAATCACACCATGCTACAAGATACACTTGCAAATTCACATAGGGTTTACAGTTTTGATTTTGTATTTGTCAACCTGGAAAGTGATGTTTTGCTAGACTGAAACCGTTGCTTGCAAGTTGCTTTCTTCCCAGACATGGTTTCCAATACGAATGTTTACTGGGATTGAGGCTGAAATCCAAAAATAGCAGGGCCAATTTTGTAAGAAGGTGGTTGTGAATTTAGATTTTAATTTTGCCAACCGGTAAAGCCAGAGAATGGCACTCTGTCACTGGTGAGTTGGGGTCCCCTGTCTTCCAATCGTAAGGTCACAGATCAGACCTTGAAACTCTCTGCTTCCTTGTGGTACATTGTTGGCACTAGATCAGAACAGGCTAAAGAGAGACCAGGACCTCAGAACATTGTAATCACACATAGCTGATTTAGTCTGACTTGCGGTATTACCTGTCAGAGCTAGAATTCATTGTCTCCTGCAGCAGATGACATCCCAAATGCACCGGTGAAGGTATTTTCAGTCTGTTTGGCCGACCCTCTCTTTATGGACTTGACGTATCAAGCAAAATAAAATTCTTTATTATAGTGGGTAAATCAGACTTTCAGATTGTCTTAGTGTGTGTAAATTTAATCTTAAGTATGTTACACATTCAGAATACACAACCCCTACTTAAAACATAACTGACAAATTCTACTTTTGGCTTGGGAATGAAAGCGCATGAGTATTTGTGCATTATGTGTTGGGTTATCTACTTCTGGAACACCCTTTATAAAGCTCTCTTCAAACTGAAGTAGGTGTCAGGTACATAGCCAGTCTCAGAAAGATTATGTTATGCTGGAGCTCATCATCGTATCTGTGCCATCTGCCCTGAGGGTAGCCTGCATTGGATTGGCAAAACTCTGGTTGTATTGATACGGCTTGCTTTGCACACCAGTGGCAGTTGTTTTATTGTAACAAGTGAGTGCTTTTGCCATGGAATAATGTGAACCTACATCTTAATTTTAACTGTTTCCTTTCCTGAGGATGACATTTTTCCCAAATTATCATAAAGGCAGTGAAACAAATTCATGTTGATTTATGAGCTTGTATCTAAATGCTTGATACATGCTTGTGGCACATTGTCTTGGTCTGAAGTGTCGAGTGGTACCCGCTAAACGCATATCCCATAATTGCTGCAGCACGTTGGCACTTCCGGTTCAAATCACGATGATGATCATCTAGTAGTAGGGAAACATTTATGTAGGAGTAGGGAATTGGGGAATGCGTTAAATTGAGAAAACTTGGGAACATTACATCATTGATATACATCCATTTTATCACTGCTATATGCATCCATTAAAGCGAGGTAGTATAAAAGGCCTAAGTGGTGATCTTGGTAGGCTAAAAATAGTTAATACAGGAGATGTATGCATGAAATGTCTCGTCTGTGAAATCCTTAAGAAAACTTGTGCCTGCTGTGGTCTATGCCCATTTGGTTAAGCATAGCACAAACCAGCATCATTATGTCAGGGTATTTTATTAGAAAATCTTAAGTGGAGTTGGCATCCTGAAAGCTGAAGGTGCCAAAACTATTTATTGCTGCTTAAGTACAGATAGAAGGCTTCCATTGACAGTGGTGGAGTGGAGACTAAATAACTATTTTCCTCATGGCTATAGCCTCCAGCACTATTCCTAGATGTATAATTAATTGCAACTTTAACCCCACTCCTCCACATGCTCGTAATAAGAAATGCTACTAACCCTGGAGATATCCATAATATTTTTCAGAGATTGGATGTAATATGCAGCAAAGAAGGCAGCATGGAAGTCTGCATTAATTTAACCAAAGGTGTAGCTTTTGTAGACGTGATTCAGTTAAAATGTTATAAAGCCTGCTTATTACTTTTGTTTTAAACTGCTACTCTTCTCTTCTGAACTTAGTATGAAATTTTAAAAAAATAGCTTAACTAGAAAAAGCTGTTTGGAATTGAGTTTTCTTCTCTAGATGAAACCTATGATACTTTATTTTTGCAGGCAGTCTTGGATTTGGTTTGCTGGGCTTATTCAAAGTAGTTAACTAACTTGAAGCTATGTGATTGATCTTATGCTTTGAGTGAATGTCTAGAAATAAGTCTGGATTTGTCTGTTTAGGGGCTCAGAAAGTTAAGATTAACTAGCTAATGAAATGCAGTTGATGTAAGCTTAGTTAAAATGCTTTAAACCTTTGTGAATGCTCTCTGTATGTATTGAATTACCTTTTTTATTTTAGTTAATTCACCTTAACTATTTTGAGGATCCAGGGGTAGACTAAGTCTTGCTTCAAGTAGATAATGCAGTGCACCTATGGCACTCTGGTCAGAAGAGTCATGTTGAGCCAGAAGGCAGTGGTTGATTTTAAATCATGATTTCAGTAATGGAGTTTGGGAAGCACTAGTATCAAAGAATTTCAGTGTTAATTTTAAGTAAGAATAAAATTATTTAGCATCAGCTGAAAGCTGTCATCACTTAAATTCTGTTAAAAATTTAGCTTATCCAAATAGTCGGAAGTGACATTTATACTATGAACCAGTCACTTTTTATGAGAGGAAAATTGATGCTTCCTTAACTAGAAAGTTTGGACTGCAGTAACTTAAAGATTTCTACTGTTAATTGGGTACTGTGCTTGTGAAACAAGTTTCCAGTCAGCATGGATCTTTAAATGTGTGCATTGGGATGGGGGGAGAAGGGGATCATAATCTCGCTTAAGTAATTTAGAGAACTTCAGAGATCAATATTCCATTAGATGGGTACTTCCTGCATACCTTAAAAACAGAGTTCTCCAGTATGTTAAGGATTTGGGTAGGATAATGTACGGGGTAAAAAGGTTGTCCAGCCAACATTTTCTTTATGATCATTCCAGCTTTTAAAGATCTGGTTTTGAAAGTAAGCCAATGCTTTTGCTATTATTCCCTGCTTGAGTTTCTTCTACAGAAGAGCTGATGTAGAACTCTGCCGAATGAGCTCCCTTCAGCCGCCTCCCCAGTCTGTAACCAGCTTTGAAGCACTGATGCCTTTGTGCTCACACATTAATGGGTAAAGGAGGGGGGAAGGATGTAAACAGCTGTAAGTAGCAGCTGTTGAATACAGAGCAGTAAACTGCCCCTTGCCAAAGGCATCTCTGGTCCTTGTGGAATGAACCTCTAGCCTGGCATCATCCCCTACCTGCGGATGTTTTCTCTGCATCCACTGGGTTGAACTGCTGAAGGAGAGAGAGGATCGAGGTTCTTAACCTTGTCTGAGATGTCAAGTGACAGCTGGTAAGGAGGAGTGGAAAAGGGTAGAGCTTTTGTGTAATTCAGATTAGGGCATTGATACGCGATCTCCGATAAATCTTTCTGTTGCAAATATTAAGCTTTTGCCACTTTAACTGTCTGCCCTGTGTTCTTGTATAGGTCCCTCCCCTGTGCATCAGAGCTGGCAGATGGGAACGTGTGGTCTGCACTTCAGCATTAGGTCTGATATCTCAGTATAAGCTGACTTTTGTTGATATTTTAGGCTAAGATGCTGTAGATTACATTGGAAAGGCTGAGTTACAGGCATGCATTTCCTCCTGTGACCAATGTGATGTAGTAACCTGCCGGTATAATATGCAGAAAAAAATAAATTAGGGTAAGAAATTAAACCAGCAGTGAGAGTGTATATATGAATGCAGTCAGTAGTGCATTTTTATATGCAGTTGCTTTTTGTCAAGTTGGCTTTATCAGAAGAGAGTCTTAAACTGTGTTGAGTTGCACGTGCTGGACAGTTTTGTAAACTTCTTGAATCTAAATTTAAACCCTCAAACTCTAAATGGAAAGTACAGGAGCTTTTTTTAAAAAAACTTTCACTTCAGTGGGCTTTTTATGGGGCACTGATCTGATACATTAAATGTGGTCAGTTGTTGGGGAAGCCTTGCAAAAAAAAAAAAATCAGTTAAAATTATATTCACAAGTTTAAATTGGTGTTTATGCCTTTGGCAACTCTTCGTAAAACACTTGGGTGTAGACACGGTTTAATACTGAAAAATGAGCCAAACAGAGCATTGCAGGATTCGGGACTGAAAGCTAAATAGATAGAGGGGATTTTTTTTATGTTGTTTAAACATTGTTCAGAGCCTTCTTACTGACAGTAAACTTCAGTATTAAAATTTTGTGTAAAGGAAGCCTTTGTTCTGAACCTCATCCCTTTGAGATGTGTGATATGCTAGACATCTTCGAGATCTCCTGCAGTTTTTTCCAGTGTAATTGTGATGGGTTTTTATTCTGGTTTTAAGAAAGCAAGATGGGAGGATTGCAGACTGCTTTGCAAATGTTAGGGCCCAGTAAAAAAAGGAGGAGACAAATGTTTAATCCTTACCACAAGCATCTGGACACCAGAGTTGCAAGCTGAACTGAGTGCAGATGCTAAAGTGCTTTAGGTCTTGCTGATGGAGGGCATGAGGATTGTGTTAAGTGCTCAGTTAACTTTATAGCGAGCTTTCTCTGTAACCTGGAGTTAGGTTGGTCAAGTGCTCATCACTTCTGTGAGCTCTTCCAAGAGCTCTTTTCGGTTTCTAGTAAATATGAGTGTCCTGCTCTAAGGTAGTATTTCCCAACCTTTGCTGGCCTATTTGAGTAGTAATGACAGGTAATTCTCTAAATCAGATAACTGCAAACTTTGTTTTTCCTTTTAGCCTTAGTTTTAATTTCT